ATAGATTTTACAATTTAATTATTATATTATATATTAATTAAATAAATAGAAATATAAAAACTAAAGAAAAATGAAAAAAATGTAAAAAAAAAAAAGAGTTGAATTGGTTCGGGTCAATTAGGTTGACCAAGTTTGGGTGGGTTTGATCGAGTTTGGGCAAGTTTGATTAGGTCTGAGTGTGTTTTGACCAAGTAGGACTCCAAATGGGTTATAACAATAACCCAGCCCATTTTTAAACTAGGTTTGGTTTAACCAGTTGAATCGACCAATTTCAAAACAATGAAAAATTAAGTTTTGATGATTGGGAAATTGAAATCGCCACCTACTGAAATGAAGGTACAATAGGTTGCCATTGCTTTACAAGAAATTAGGGATTAGGGGTTTGTTTAAGAGTAAGGAAAGATATATGAACACATCACAACCCTCTATGTTAACAAGGTTGCATACTTTAAATTTGGGAATTTATTTAACTCATAAACGTTTATTTAAATTAATGGTCTTAAGTGAAGCAAATCAAGCATATTAATGGGTATGAGAATGAGAATTGAAAGTTTTGGGTTTAATTGAAAGGAAATGGAAATGCACATGTCAAATTGAACAAACAAAAACAGAGGGACTAAACGGTACAGATTTGAAACATATGGGCGCATTTTGGACAAATTAAAAATTTAGGGTTCAATTAAAAAGAAGAGTATAAGATTACAATTGCATAATTCCCATGGGTTTTAACTTTAAATGAAAATTTTTAAATTTTTTAGTTTTAATGTGACATGGGAACTAATCTAAAATATGTTGACAAGAAAAGTTGAGATTTAATTTAATTAAATGTCATTTGGTACCTAATTGAAGAGTTTAAAGTGTGAATCTAATTTTTCAGGGACTTAAAAATGACGGAGAAAAAGATGGGGACCAAATCGACAAGTGAAAAAAAGTCGAGGATTAAAGGTCAAAGTCGCAGTAAGATACCCAACGACGTCGTTTTAAATTTAAAAGGCGAAAAATAGAAAGCGCGGCAGAGGGTTCAGTCGACCGTACCCCCCTAAATCCGGCAAAAAAACTCAAACCCTCTTCTTCTTGCCTTTTGATTTTCACCAACACAGATGGCCTGCCTCAGGAGAGAAGTTCTTTTCCCTGCAGAGCTCAGTGGTCAAAACCTTTCAAAGGAGCAAACTGGTAGTGGAGATTCCGGCGACATTCCGGCGTTTTTCGGTTCCCAGGTAATTTCTACATTAGAATGCGTAAGGGAGCCTTCAGGTTTTTGCTTCCGGGACTACTCCGAAACGGTGTACCCGGATATGGGTTTATTTGGGCTATATTTAGGTGTTGTGATGGTTTGGCATTTTTTTTGGCTTTTTTTTGCATTTTTTCCGATTTTTTAGTAGCCGGGATCTGCATTTAGGTTGCCGGAATCCAGTGGGATTCCGACAAACTCTTCGGTTTTTTTTGGAAATTTTCTGGTTCTGGCAGTTAAAAAAGAAAAAGCATTTAAACTTCATAACTTGTCATTTTGCTGGTTTTTTGCCTTTTTTTAGAAATTTGGAGCCACCGGAATCTGGAAATCGTACGGAATCTTGCCGGGATTTAACCGGACTCCGGCCATGTTCCACCGGCCATTATCCTTTAGTTCAATCTGTTTTGACCCGGATTCTCTGTCCGGGTCACGTTATCTGGTTCAAGTCGACCCGGTTGCGGACCTAAGTCCTCTATACTTTGTTGGACTGGGCCTGACCCAAAAAGAATTTTCAAAACAAAAAAGGGGTAAGGTTGATGGGCTGAAATGGGTTGGGTCAAACCCAGTTTAAGTCCAACAGACTTTTCCATTACATTAACTAAGTTTTAATTATTTAATTAATTGGATTAATAAAATTTAATTAGTTTTTTAATTATCTTAATGATTTTTAATTAAATTTAATCAATCATTGATTAACTAAATTAGTTAAGATTTAGTTAAGTTAATTAAGATTAATTAAGATGATTAATTACTTTTAATTAATTTTAATTAAGTTTAATGAAGGGTTTAAGTTAATTAAACCCTTAATTTTTTAACACTTAATTTGTCATCATTTTCATAATTTTGAAATTTTAAATGGTTGTCAATGGATTGACAACTCCATTGGGATCAAACCCATAATCTTTGGTTTTCATATTTAGGGTTCACGAGGGTCAAGTTAATATTTTAACTTTGGAGGATTTTTCAGCTTTTAAATTTTCTTTGCTTGTTGGTTGTTGTTTTGGTGGTTGCTTTTACCTTTTTGCCTTTGCGTGATTATCTTGCTATATCTAGACATGCATCATGCCTTGCTCACATGTTCATGCATCATACACTCTCTCATGCTCATCTATCATTGATATCACATGCTTATTTATCATGCACCATACTTACATTTGATTATGAAGTACTAGGTGAGCCCCTTTCTTCTATGTAAGTAGGTTTGTTTGTGGATGCTATACATGTTGAGTGCTTTACATGCTTTATCTACCTACATCGTTTATCTACTAGTCGTGGGATATATGTCGCCCTTTTGTTTGTGATTGCCTTTTTACAGGTTATTGGAGTGTCATGCCTTTGCACACACTCATTATCATTTTGCATTAGGTTTGTGTTTGAGGTGAACCCGACCTCTAGGTTGGAATCCTTACAAATCTTGCACAGAAGAGCAATTCTTCTTGTATTGAGGAGTAAGGTCAATTCCCGTTTAATACAACGGTTGACAATGTAATATCATTATGTGTATTAGCTTATGGAAATATCTTCCATGGATTCTGAAAGGAGAAATGGTTGAAAAGGCCTAACGCCCTTTAGGTAACCATGTAGTGGACTTAGAGAGATACCTACCATAGGACTTGTTTCCCATAGTATCCCACTCGTGAGGTTAAGTGTTATGTGTTTAAGACACAAAAGGGGGCTTTTACTTTGCTAACCTTTATTTGTGTGTGTGACAAGTTTATTCATATTGGTAAGATCCCCTTTTTAGTTCCTATACTTAAAAAAATCCCTTTTAGTTCATAAAGTTTGAAATCTAGTCCCTTTTTAGTCATTCCATTAAGTTTTGGCTAATGTAGCATACAAGTTAATTAACTAAATTGTTTGATTTTTTTTTTTTTGTATAAATGACATGGAAAATCCAAAAGTAAAAAATGATGATGTGGCATCCTATATAGACATTGAACATAACATGTAATTTATAAAAACTAAAATTTTGAAATTAACCTTAAGCCTCCTTGTTCATCATTCAACGCTTCTCCTTTTCTTTCTTCACCCCTTTCTCTTTTTCCAGAACCCTAACATGGATCTTTGTTACCTATCTCAAGCTCATCTTAATCTTGGTAATCTTCTTCAAATTGAACATGAACCTAGGTTTTGGGTTTCGCGATGAACCCAGCTCCTAGGTTTCGTGATGAACTTAGATCTGGTTTCATCTTTCCATCATCTACAACCCATATTCAAGATAGGTTAAAAAGAAAAAATCAATTGTAGTACTTCAAACAACTATCCCAGCATATAACCAGATCCAATAATAATGTTGTTGATGGGGATGGAGATGAGTTTGACAAAAAACCCTATGGATCCCATCACCACGAAGCCGATTACCTAACGGAACACCACCTATGTCATTTCTTTGCAAGTTTGTGGGATCGAGTGATGTCCATTTACTCTATTTCGATTTAATTAACTTTCTTAGGTTGGATGGGTTTTCATCAAAATATCAGAATAATTACCTAGATCTGTATGTTTAGGATGGATGGGGTGAAGTATGGTTGTTGATGGTGAGAAGAAGAAGAAAAAGAGAAACAAAACTTGAAAAAAAAAAGGGTTTTGGAGTTTTTGTAATTGGTGAGGAAGGAGAGGATAAGACAGAAGGGGGAAGAAGATAAAGGCAAATAAGTAATTAAAGTCACTCTTAATCACAAAATAGCCTTTAAAATATTTATAATGACAATTATGTAATTAAATGATTTTCAAGATTATATTAGACTAAAATTTGATCATGTCATCAATTTTTATCAGATGAATTTTTTCACATAATTTAAGTAAAGAAAAAAATAAGTTTTCCCATTAATTAATATATCACATCAGCCAAAACTTAACGGAAGGACTAAAAGGGGGTTGCATTTCAAACTTTAGGGACTAAAAAGGGACTTTTTTAAGTATTGGGGTTTAAAAGGAGCTTTTTGTTAAAGTAGAGGGATCAAAATGGGAATTTAACCATTCATATTTGTTGAGGTATAAAACATGAGGCTATGATTTGTGTTTGACAACATTGAGTGCTTTTTTTTTTTGTAGGTAAGCCATACATTGTGCATTAACTATGGATTTTACTAAGGATATTATCAGACAAAGGAAAAGGTCAGGGGAGGATTATGCATCTCATTCTGTTTCTAAGGAGTCTAATGATTTCAACTTTTCAGTTAGTAGTATCAAGCCAGACCTAACATTGCTAAAGGCAGCCTATGACCTCTTGTCTTCTAAGGAAAAGTATGATTTTGAGGTGCAATTTGGACGTATTGTAGACTTGTTTTCTATTGTGCCAGATTGGAAATTGTTTAAAGCTATGTTGAAATTTTATGTTCCTACATATGGAGCATTTGTGTTCCCGCAGTTTGAGCTAGTACTTACTATTGATGAGTATCATCAATTCTTACGATGTAGTCCTACAGTGGATTCACATACTTTTACCCCTACACAGCAGCATATGCAGCTTACAAGTGTAATAGTTCAAGAGATGTTGCAACGTATTTGTGGGTTCTCTTTTGATTTCACACAACCTTTACTAAAGACGGATACTTATGGGTTTAATTGGGATGTAGCTTTTACAACTATGGGCAATAGTTTAGCTAATATGAGATCTTCAGAAAGGATTAGATTTGTGGCACTTGGGGTTTATGGCATGGTCATATTTCCTATTTATGTTAAGTCTATTGCACCTATGGTGGTGGCTCTATTTGATCAGTTGTTGTCTACTTCGGCATTCAATCCTACTCCAACTGTAGTCGCGGAAACCTTGAGATCTATGCAAGTTATTTGGGCAAAACGTAAAGGTCGCTTCTTGGGTTGCATTGAGTTGTTTACTGCATGGGCACATGATCACTTAATAGGTCCTCGATTTGAAACTTTGCTTAGTGTTCCTATAAAAAATAGGAAAGTAGAGGATTGGCATCAAATTTTCTTGTCTGCTTCTATTAGTGATGTCAGATTTGTGCTTTCATCTTGGAGTGCCACTCATTACCTTCATCCACCTGAGAGGCACCACTTTATTCCTTTGTTAGGTATCCGTGGGGGAATTTCTTATTCTGTGGAGTTAGCACGTCGCCAGTTTGGAGAAGCACAAGGTGTTCCTTATCTAAATAATGGTTTACCTCCTCCTTTTGATTATGCATCTACTATGAAGATTGTTGACAAGATATCTGAGGCGCATGAACTGTGGGTCAAATGTAGGATGTTACCTATATGGAAAGAAAATGGAACTAGACCAGAATATGAGCAATGGAGGTCTATTTGGATAAAAAATCTTTCTTTGCCTCTCAAGGTGATAAATACCAAAGAATCCACTATCATAGATTTGACTACTAAGTTGGAGTTTAGCCATTCTCAAAGAGCTCATTTGCGAGAAAAGTATGATGGTTTAGCTCTTAAACATGAATTGCTTAAAAGGGGTAAAGAATTGTCTGATCAGCAAATGATGGAATTGAACAAAGACTTGGCTACCAATAAACAAGTTTGTGTGGAGCAAAAGCGAAGTTTGAAGTTTGCTAAGGAACAAAAGAGAAGGTTATTACAAGTGAAGGCGGATCTCAAAGCAAAAGAGGAGGAGAACAAGGAGCTTGTTGAGAAGATGGCCAGGCAGCAAAAATTGGAGGAAGAGGTGGCTCGGTGGAAGAATGCTTACAACAATCTATTGTCTGACTATAGTGCTTTGCAAAAAGAATTACAAGCAATGAAGCAGTCAAAGCAAGGAGGGGAAGAAAACACATCTTGAGTAGCTTATGGAAATTTGTCACTTGAGAACTTACAAACATCAGAAATTTGGATTTCTTAATGAAACTTGCTTGAATGAATACAATCTTTCTTCCTTATGAAAAGTGTATTCGATAAAGTAAAATTCATGAATAGGATAAAAACTTTCATTTTCGTTCAAGTTTCACTAATCCGATTCCTCCAGGTAGCTCTAAACTCCTCTATTTTATTTTTCTTCTTCTTCTTCTTTTCTTTTTTTGTTATGGATGTGTATGATTTCTCTGTATTTTGATACCAACTGATTTTAAAATGTGAATGCACTGGTGTCTACCTTAGATATTTCAAGATTTTGGGCAGATTGCTCTAGCTTTTCCGTTTATGAGCTTTTATGGTTCGAAATGGTGATTTTGATATTAGGAAAATGATTGAGTATTTAGGTGGATTTGAGATGGGTTTGCATTACCGATAGGAATTATTGGCTATAGGGAGTTGTGCGCAATTTTGGATTGAACAAGAAAGGCTGAGTCTATTTTATATCAATTGAAGATAGAAACTACTCTTACATCTATAATTTTCATTAAATAGTAGAATGTTTTTTTGGGTTTTGCATGCTGGAAAAATTTTCAGTATATGATGTTTCTGAATATTGACAGCCTTGATATAAGAATAAATGGCCTCAGCTCTTCTTTCAGTTGTACAAGCGATTACCCATTTTGATTTCTTGCTTTATTTCAACATTTGATTAGTTTTAGAGGTTAGAGTTTTAGAAATTTATGAGTGGATTTGATTAGTTTTGGATTGCTGTTGGAAGTTTTGTGCTTTGATTTGAAAAACTGGTTAGTTTTGCAATTGGGTTTTTGGAGATATAGAAAACCAAATTAACCAATGAAGGAATCTGACTAGAACACTGAACCTCTAGGCAAAACTAATAAAGTTGATAAGCAATCTATGTTTCTCAGGGTTCCTCTTCTCAGTTTTGATATATTGTACACCAGATTATGCTTCTTACATATTGAATTTCATTTTAACTTTAGCAACTACTTAAAAATAGAAATTGGTTTCTATTTAGTTTTTTTGTAGTGACAGGTGAATATTTGCTTAATATTTACCATTTTTGGCTGACTAACTGTCTACATATCAGTTTGGTTTTGGATGGTTATTCTTATGCTTCTGAAAATGTTTGAACATACATTGCAATTGATAATGTGCTACTGTCAATTATTATATATTAGACTTTGATACGGATATAATTTCCCCGTATTTGGACCTCAATGTAGTTTTCCTCTTTGTATTGGACTGGCTTATTGAATTTTGTAGGTTGAGTGGGCAGCATTTGATGGGACAAAGAAGAGAAGTTAGATGAAGATACTTGCTTGACTATGATTTGTTTTTCTATGTTGTTTTGACCTTCGATTACTGAGATTATCCAAAATGAAATCAGAAATTGACTATGCTTCCTTTTCAAAGCAAACTATTTATCTTCTGTTGTATTAGAGATGATTCTGATGCACTTTTGTATTTTTCCGGTGAGCATGGACGTGGTAATAGGAGATCTGCACTTCAAAAGAGAAGTTTACTAATTCTATGCTAAGTTTTTGTAGTTTTTTTTTTTTTTCTTCTTACTAAAGCTGATTACCATACAGTCATTTAAACCTATGCACATCCTTCATATTTGTATATTATGTTTTTCCGGTGAGCATGGACGTGGTAATAGGAGATCTGCACTTCAAAAGAGAAGTTTACTAATTCTATGCTAAGTTTTTGTAGTTTTTTTTTTTTTT